ACGCGGGATATCGACTCGGTCCGACCCGGGTCGGGCAAGCGAGCAAGCTCCTATTCTCACGCCCCTTTCCCCGCCGTAGGGAAGCGAGCGATCCACGCGTGGCCAAGCCGGCGCGCACAACCCCCCTGCGAGGTGGGGTGGGGGCGGGAGGGGGTCCGCACCTTGGGGTCCTTCTCGTAGTAGTGCTGCTGGGTGCGGATCCAGCGGCCGACCAGGTGGTCGCGGACGGTGTGGGCGAGGGCGAAGTAGTAGTCGCGCGGCGTGGACACGTTGCGGTCCTTGACCAGCGTGAAGTGGAGGTGCCGGTTGAAGCTCTTCTTCAGGTCGGTCACGTTCTCCACGCCGGCTAAGCCCCGCACGCTGATCTGCTTCCTCTTCTCGTAGTCCGACAGCGGCAGCGACATCGCGGCGGTCCGGGAGGGCGGCGGGGCCGGGACAGGACGGAGGATCTACCGGGGGCTTCGCCTGGGCGCCGGCAAATGCGCTCCATGCCCCGCCCCTCCGGCCTTTTAAACCCCCCCGCGATGCATTATTCATGAGGGGGCGGGGTCCCGAAGCCCCTCCCGCCCGCCGGGGTTCTCTGGGTGTCAGTCCCCGCAATCTGGCCGCCGAATTGAAAGGCGGCGGGGCGGATTCGGAGTGGCTCCCGTCGGCCTTGGAAACGATGAGCGTTGTTAGCAAGCCGTCCGGTGAGCAGATAGTCACCCGTAAGAGTCCTCTATCGCTCCCGAGGGAAAGAAAAGAACAGAGTTGGAAGGGACCTTGGAGGTCTTCTAGTCGATTCCCCCCTGCTCAAGCAGGAGACCCGTACCATTTCAGACAGGTGGCTGTCCTGTCTCTTCTTAAAAACCTCCACGGTGGAGCACCCACAGGTGGAGAAGCACTGCTTAGAACACAGAATCATAGGATTGTAAGGGACCTCGGAGGTCATCCAGTCCAACCCCTTGCTCAAGCAGTAGACCCTATACCATTCCAGACAGATGGCTGTCCTATCTCTTCTTAAAAACCTCCAATGTTGGAGCACCCGCAACTTTGGGGGATAATCATGACCTGGATGGTTGAGAATCTCCGTAGACATTTGTCTGGAATGGTTGGAGATCTCTTGCTTGAACAGGGG